TTCCTTTAACTTCCTTTATCTTCCTTCAACTTCCTTAATCTTCCTTTGCTCTTCTTGTGCTTCTACCATTATCTTGGCCATCCGAGCAGTAACGCTCCGGCCACCCATGCTCCTACAGGTTATGACTTTAGGCTTTGGGGTCTCTGGTTTAGGCGTTTGGAAACGAGAATCATACGAATGTAGCCGTTGCCCAAAGCAGCTGGATGGCATCGACAAGGCCAAAAACAAACAACACTCTACAACCACGACGTCACTAGGCCTCGGAGGCTCGTTGCATTGAATATCGCGACCCTTCAACCTACCTAGCCCTAAACCCTAAACCCTAAACCCTAAACCTTAAAATCTAAACCAAACTCAACGGTTCCCGACTTCCAGCCTCCAGGCTCAAGTCTCAAGGACTGACCGCGACATCAGGGTCGAATTTAGTCATGTAAAGGGTATCAGATTCGGGGTTTCAGGTTTTTGTAAGGTCCAGGTGTTGAGGTCTAGGGTTTAGGCTATAAGGTTTAGGGTTTAGGGTTTAAGTAGAGGGTTGTCCCTTTTACACAAACCCCCCTAAACGCTAAACGCTAAACCCTAAACCCTAAACCCTAAACTCTAAACCCTAAACCCTAAACCCTAAACGCCGGCAAGTTTGAAGGATCCAAGCTTGCCAAGCCACCTCTCCCGCTGGCAGAGGCCGAAGCATCCGCCGAGGTTCTCCCTGCGTTGCGCCCGGTAGTCTACCCTAAGGGTCCATGAAGCCTTACCCTAAGGGTTAGGGTTTAGGGTTTAGGGTTTAGGGTTTAGGGTTTAGGGTTTAGGGTTTAGGGTTTAGGGTTTAGGAGGGTCCATGTACTTCTTTAGGGTTCCTTTAAGGGTTTCTTTAAAGGGATCTATAAGGGTTCTATAGGGTTTAGGGTTTAAGGGTCCCTGTACTTCTTTAGGGTTCCTTTAAGGGTTCCTTTAAAGGGATCTATAAGGGTTCTATAGGGTTTAGGGTTTAAGGGTCCATGTACCTAAATAGCAAAAACATTGGCCCTAAAGTACCTATATAGGGACTACTTTAAGGCCAAAGTATACACTATCTGGGCACATGGACTCTTAGGGCTAGTTTACAGTTTACCTCATTAAACTATCTTCACCTGCTTTGCGGAATATAGAGGTTCTTATTATACGCAATAAGATGACTTTGTGATTGTGAGGACCCTGCAAAAAAATGGGCTTTAGCAAGTTGAACTACGGAAGGCTTTAGTAGTCCAAGGTCGGAGTTGTGGCCTGAGTCTTACAGGCAACGGCCGCTCAATTGCAACGGCCGTCCCACTGACCATCGTATGGATAGCGGTTTTGGGTTTAGGGTTTAGGGGTTAGGGTTTAGGGCTTAGGGTTTAGGGTTTAGGTTTTAGGGGTTAGGGTTTAGGGTTTAGGGTTTAGGGTTTAGATAGTGAGCAACAAGCGAACAGATATCCTGCCATGCCATGCCATACTATCAGTCTCATACGGTGTCAAGTTATGCTGTTGCAACAGACCGCTGGAAATACAACTGTTATCTACAGCTGAATAATTAGGAAGCACACAATACAGCAGCATTGACATCAAGACAAGGAAGCAATCACAATAAACAATACCAATAATAATTAGCGCTACAGTTACATTAAAGCAACGCAAACGAGCTCGAAGCAACATGCGCACAACAATACGTTGCCGACCTTGGACTGCGAATTGCAACGGAATGCAAATCTGGTGAAGTGCTGTGGGAAACAGTTCAGGACAAAGTACGGAAATCCAAAATGTTGCAGGTGGACATGGAAGAAGAGCTGAACAAGAGGTGGATTGAATCTTGTTTTCACCGCTTCTCTTCAATTAGGGAAGATAAGAAAAGGTGAACCTGTAGAATGGACAAACACAGCGAACACAAACTCATATTTTCTCGTTTTCTCGACGGAAGGCAGGGATGGCTGTCCCCTGCCTGCGATTTGGAAGGGAAAGGTGCATTGATGTAGAGCCAGGGCATGGGTGCTGTTCCCCCGGGATTTTGCCCGTGATTCTGTGTCTTTCGCAAAGGCTCTCAACCTATCTCAACCTTTTCCCCTAAACCCTAAACCCTAAACCCTAAGCTTTTTCCACTTCTCTGATCTTCTTGGTAGGTAACCTTTCTATCGCTTTGTCCTTCTGCTTTCACCTCGAGCTTCGTTCAAAGAGACAGCTACTGAAGGGTTTAGGGTTTAGGGTTCTGTTCTCTCAAAGCAGCGGGAACCTGCTAGGCCTTGGACCATCCCTAAGTGAAGATCCCATGCTGACAGCAACCAGTCATGCCTTATGTAGGGGCCTCAATAGCTAGAATAGGGTTTGGGGGCCCATTATACTATATTTATAATAAGGAACCGCCAAAATAATATAGGTAGTTATTAAGGCCCCTATATTAAGCCAACATCTCATGCTGACAGCAAGCAGTTATGCGTATGACACCTAGCTGTCCGTTCCAAGTGGACATGCTGGTAGTGGTGGTGGTGGTGGTGATGCTTGTTCTGGTCGTGCCGCTGCTCCAGGCGACGATCATCACGATGACGACGATAAGGGGTCAAATTTGTTGACGGCGATGATGACACGAGGGGAATGCGAGACAAAGAGATGGCGATGTGGTGACGACGACGCAGTATCATGCGGAAATGAATATTCAGCACCATCAGCCGTGAACTCCAAACTCTGACACGATCATAACACAAGTGTTTGCTCCACTCTGAGGGTCGGGGCCACGACGACCAGTCGCTGAACTCGCAATGCACGGGATCACACGTCTCCTCACAGGGCCTCGGAAAATGGATCAGCATGTTTTAGAGGGGCCTTACTAAATAGAAATGAATATTACAGCATGATTATTATGAGGGAACCGTAAGCGGATAACATTACTGAGCCACCATCAAATATAGGGGCATAATGTTTAGAATGGATTTTCGAGGGGTATGTTTACCATGATTATGAGGGTACAATAAAACCATGGCATTACTGAGTTACCATCTCAAAGATAAGAGCCTTACCAGTAACACTTACAATGGGAATTGAGGGAAGGGGTTCAGCATTTAGAGGTGTATGGCTCAAGGTTCTGGCTAAATCATACCACGACTGTGAGGGAACCTTACAATCATGACTGAGTATTTCGAGCCTTATGCATGCCTAGTGCTTCAGGAAGCCAGGGTGCGCTTTGAGGCAGACAGACTTTGCCGGAGCTTTTGTCAGAAATAGCCGTATAGCCCATCCTGTTGTTGCAGCTCTGACCCGCCAAGCCGAATAAACCACTCTTCCTATGAGTCCCTAAGGGTCCATGTGCTCAAATAGTAGATACTTTGGCCTTAAAGTAGTCCCTATATAGATACTTTGGGGCCAGTGTATATACTATATGAGTACATGGACCCTTAGGGAGTAGTAAACGAAGCCCGAAGGCTTAATACGTCCAGGTTCTCTAGATGCGAAGAGCCCTGCAGACTCGTCGCGATGATGAGTGAATTTGCTTCTCCTTGCGATGGAGACCGGGAATCATAACATGCAGATGAAGCTGAACCTGATGCTGATGATGGTGGTTGCGCAGGGATCGGTACGGTGTCTTGTCATGATGACGGTGGCGGCTATAGTGCTGGTAACTGTATCGAGCTTGGCGATGACGTGACCGCGATAGGTGTTTCACAACGGAGCGGATGCTTCTGTCTGTGCTGAGAAGGAAGAAATGATGCTAAAAGTGAGACTAAACCCGAGAATGCTGGTAATGATGCTGGCGATGCTCGTGCTGATAGGGAAGGTTGTGGCGGCAATGGCAGCAGTGATGACGCTGGCGGTTGTGACAAGCACTGCAACTGCGCTTAGCCATGTTTGTGGACATGGCCTCAAATGCCAGCTATATAGGCTCCACTAGCGCTCCATACTTCTCTGATGAAACTCATGCTGCCTTTGCAATGCTGTGATCAGTTTTCAACCAAAAGAAGTCTAGGGCTTCACATGAGAAGTTGGGGTTCAGCGTTTCAGGGATGATGGCAACACGCACACACACGCACACACGCACATATATATATATATATATACACATGGCCACATATACAGATAGATAGAGATAGGTAGATGGATAGGTTGTTCTATAGAGAAACATGATAATATAACATATGTATGAATATCTACATATGTATATATTTAGATGCTATAAATATGGATATAGAGAGGGGCCATGTGGCGGGTCCGGACTTGACTGTGAGATTCAATGCTGAAGTTCCTTAGGCCGGAGCGTGTTGTGGCAGGACTCTTTCTGCGTCTCAAAGCCTTGAGGGTTTAGGGTTTTAGGGTCAAAGCCTTGAGGACTTAAACCATTGAGCTAGGGGAATGGTGATGCAGACCGGCTTTCATAAGTACAACTGATATGGATTGCAATGCGAAGGTGCACGATGGTCTGGCGATGGAGAGAAAGCATCGGACATTACAGTGGTTGCAAGCAATCGAGAAAGTAGCATCTGTCCTGCAGTGCCAGATCGATAATTCTGCCCACCCCAATGCCTAAACATATTATGTTTGCACGGTGATGAAAATTCGAAGCCGACAACGCAGTCGTCGTCGTACTGGTGTTGACTGAGATCGTATTCGCGTTAGCACGAGTATACTCATTTCCGTTCGTACAGTTTTGTTGTACTAGTAATAGCACTGTAATGGTACCAGGAATGGTAATAGTAATAGTGACAGTATTATTCTGAGTTTTGTTCGTCGTCGTAGTAGTAGTAGTAGTAGTAGTAGTAGTAGTAGTAGTGTAGTAGTAGTAGTAGTAGTAGTAGTAGTAGTAGTAGTAGTAGTAGTAGTCGAGTAGTAGTAGTAGTAGTAGTAGTAGTAGTA